TTTTTTTTTTCTCTTTTTTGAGACAGTCTCATTCAGTCGTCCAGGCTGGAGTGCAGTGGCACAGTCACAGCTCACTGCAACCTTGACTGCCCCTGGATCAGGTGATCCACCTCAGCCTCTCGAGTAGCTGGGACTATAGGCACACGCTACCATGCCCGGCTAATTTTTGTATTTTTTGTAGAGATTAGGTTTTGTCGTGTTGGCCAGGCTGGTCTCAAGCCATCCGCCTGCCTGAGCCTCCCATAGTGCTGGGATTACATGTGTGAGCCACCGTACCCAGTCCCTTGGTAGTTTTGTTTTAATTGTTAAATTGAAGCTAGAAGCAGATATTGCTGACTTGATATGCCAGTTGGCTGAGTCCCTCATAGCTTGGTAAAATCAGAATAGAACAACTAACTTAGCTGCTTTTTTTTTTTTTAGCAAGTCTTTGGAAATCTTTTTGTTGGTGCTGACAGCCACAGCAGTCCAATACAGTGGAATGGTGTATATCTTGGGTGGTAAGGATATACAAGTGGACGTAATCCTGGGATGTCACAGTGTATGTCTTTCCCCCTCTTGGACCTGATTAGTTTAACATGTCTTTTTGTATATAATGATAATACTGCTTAAGCTTTTGAGTCTGTTTGAAGAATGGATTTTCACTGATTTACATTTGTCCACTGGGTTCTTGTGATCCTCAGCACACATGTAGAATAGTAGTTTCCTAATACGTAGTTACTGTAAAAAATAAATACTATTTGTACAGATTTCTCCTTTCACAGTATTTAATAAGAGTTTTTCTTTCTGCAGTTTTTTTATATTTTCTTACCATATTTCTTCTATATAAGCTAAAGTCAGCCTTTGAAGGAAGTGTAATTTTAAATAAGATTTAAAATTATTTTTATGTGTTCTAGATTCTGGAAGTTACGGTCAGTCTGGGGGTGAGCAGCAAAGGTAAAGTATACATATATTTTAATAATATGAAAGGGTAGAACTGGGATGAATTTTGTCAAACTTCTTCTCTTGAGACTTGATGTCTGGATGTTATAGTTAGTTAAATATTAGCTTGTCACAGAGTAAAGAGAGTCAGCTTGTGTAAATAGGTGCTGTAAAACATGTATTCCTTTTCTTTTTTTCTTTATGTTTTGAGACAGAGTCTTGCTGGGTACCCAGGTTGGAGTGCAGTGGCTATTCATAGGCAAATCATAGTGTACTATAGCCTTGAATTCCTGAGCTTAAGCAATCCTCCTGCCTCAGTCTCCCAAGTAACTGTACTCTCCACTACAGCCATGTGCCACTGTACTGGGCTTCTTCCTTAAGTCTGTTTGCATCAATGAATATACCTCCTAGAGATTAAAACAAGTCTCCTTGGTATTCTAAAGTTTATGTTTTCTTTAGGAAATCTCTTAGAAAAAACAATTATTAAAGGAATTTAATGCCAGATACTGTGGCTCATGCCTCCCAGCACTTTGGGAGGCCAAGGTGGGAGGACTGCCTGAGGCCAGGAGTTAGAAACCATTTTGGACTATATAGCCAGTCCTTGTCTCTACAAAAATTTTTTTAAAAATTATCCAGACATGGTGGTGTGTATCTGTAGCCCTAGCTACTTGGGAGACTGAGGCTGTAGGATCACTTGGAAGAGTTCAAGGTTGTTACAGTGAGTTACGATCTTGCCACTACATTCCGGCCTGGGTGACAGAGTGAGACCCTGTCTCCAAAAAAAAAGCAATTGAACTCTTGTTTTTTAGAAGAAGCATTTTATGATAGTATATAATATGCTAATATGTTTTTTTCAGAGCACATTTTTTTGAAGCACCATGAAAGAAATATTTAGCATTTTTTAGTGTCCCTACCGTGCTCACAATAAAAAGAAAATTCTATTTTTATGTGAATGTATATATGCAGTAGGCTTCTCTTACCAGAAATACAGCCTTCTACTTGTATGATAAATGTTTTACAGCTCAGTGTGAGATATTCAGAATAGCATCTCAGATATTTATCAAATTTTAAGCTTCCTGAAAACAAAACTGATTTGACTTTTTTAATATCATAAGATAGTGCTAACCTCCTAGTAGGCATCTAGCAGAATATTTATTTGATGAAATATGTTTTGAAAAGTTAAAGAACCTTGTTAGTATTTGATAGCTTTAAAATACTAAAAAGGCCGGGCGCGGTGGCTCAAGCCTGTAATCCCAGCACTTTGGGAGGCCGAGGCGGGTGGATCACGAGGTCAAGAGATCGAGACCATCCTGGTCAACATGGTGAAACCCCATCTCTACTAAAAATACAAAAAATTAGCTGGGCATGGTGGCGTGTGCCTGTAATCCCAGCTACTCAGGAGGCTGAGGCAGGAGAATTGCCTGAACCCAGGAGGGCGGAGGTTGCGGTGAGCCGAGATCGCGCCATTGCACTCCAGCCTGGGTAACAAGAGTGAAACTCCGTCTCAAAATAAAATAAAATAAAATAAAATAAAATAAAATACTAAAAAGTTTTTTATTGCAAATGTTTTAGTTTTCCTTGGATATTAGAAAGTCAGAGTATAGATTCATAAAGTTTGTTCCTGACTTGTTAGAGCTTATGTACTATTAAATTAAAATTCAAATCCCAGAAGGGTATATTATTTAGTCAGTCAACAAATATTTATTGAGCTATGTGCTAGGCCCTGCTACAGCACTGAGGAGATGCAGTGTAATTTCATTCTGTGATTGTACTCTGGAGATATACGTGTCTCTAATTACTGAGGCATTTAAACTGGACTTCTAGGGCCACCCTGTGCATCTTGTAGGAAGTTAAAGACATTTAACTAAGGCAAATGGTAGGAAAAAATTCATCTGTCAAGATATAACTGAGTAAGGTGTTCATTTTTGTCAAGCCATCATTTTTGTGTTTCACATATTTATTATGGGCCTTGCTCTGTAGTTTTTATTCCCCCCCACACCCAAGCATAATTCTCTTGGAATTTTCTAGCTCTGATGAAGTTTCCTTTATTTGTAGGAGATTGTCAAAACAAAACTTGGGGTATTTGTTTGACATTCAGGATATCTGGGAGTGATTTCATTTATTTCTTTAACAGTCTTTCGTCATCACCTTTCAATTTTTACTCTAGAGATAGGCAGATTGATGATTTCTCAGCAAAGAAGCTTGTATTTCAGTTGAAAGTTGAAAATGAAGGCAAGGTCTTCATTTAAACTTTTAAATTTTAACACATTTCTTTCAAGTACTACATTTTTCTTTTGCAGTTATTCTTCCTATGGAAATCAAGGCAACCAAGGCTATGGACAAACACCACAAGTAGGTTGAAATATAAATTGTATTCTTCATAAGTAGTTATTTTTATCTTAAGTAGGTGATGAAACTTGAGTATTTACCTAAATTTCAGAGCTATTCTGGCTATGGGCAAACGACTGATTCCTCTTATGGACAGAACTACAGCAGTTACTCCGGTTATGGACAAAGTCAGTCAGGTTGGACTAATTTGTTAAATTTGTTGTTTCAGAGATTGAAAAATCAGAGCCTTCACTAAATGATAACTCATCTAATCTTTAGGTTACTCACAGTCCTATGGTGGTTATGAGAATCAAAAGCAGAGCTCATATGGCCAGCAGCCATATAATAACCAGGGACAGCAGCAAAACATGGAATCATCAGGAAGGTAAGGAAACAGTAAAGTATTGACATTGGTTGGGGCAGTAGAAATAACACTGAATATTGAAGAGATTTAGCCAACAAAATCTTAACTTGAAACTTTTTTTTTTAAAGAAAAGTTTTAATGGAGTATGGATTTCACAACTGTGTATTAAGGAGAATATGGAAATAGCATTGTCATTTGATTCTTCTGAAGTATTTGTAAAATCATTGCTTAGCTGTAAATTGATGTACTTAAAAATGTTAGAAAATTTTGAACCTCTGCTTTATACCTGAGATTAAATAAAAACCTGCCTTTAGTATGAGACTTCTCAATATCTACTTTTTAATTTCTATTTTATTTTTGAACCATTTGAATATATTACGTTTTCAGGGACAAAAATGTTTTTTAAAAGGGTCAAAACTTTCACAATATATCAGATACCCTAAAAATGTGTTTTATTTGTTGATATATGTAGGTAACTATTTATCGATAAATTTTAGGTTTTATAAAGTTTTTTTACCTGGCCGGGCGCGGTGGCTCACGCCTGTAATCCCAGTACTTTGGGAGGCCGAGGCGGGTGGATCACGAGGTCAAGAGATCGAGACCATCCT